GAATGTCAGGGCTGGAAGAGACCTCAGAATATACAATGTCAGAGCTGGGAGGGCCCTTAGATCACAGAATGTCAGCTAGGAGAAATTCCTCCCACCTTCTCCTCTGCCTTTTCTTTCTTCCTTCCTTTTTTCCCCTTCTTCCATTTCTTCCTCCCTCCCTCCTTTCCTTCCTTCCTTCTTTTCTTCCTTCCTTCCTTCCTTCCTTCCTTCCTTCCTTCCTTCCTTCCTTCCTTCCTTCCTTCCTCCATCCCTCCCTCCCTTCCTCCATCCCTCCCTTCCTTCTTCCCTCGCTCCTAATAAAAATACAAAGGCAAAAGTAAGTTATCTGCCATTAAGGAGCTTATGTTCTGTCGGGGGAGGCGGGGTGGAACCTAGCACAGTGCCAGGCCCATAGTCAGCTCTTAATAAATGTTTGTTTATTGATTGATGCAATGAAAGTTAAATACAAAATATATCCAAAGTAATTTCCAGGGGTAAGGGGGAGGGGAGAGCAATAGCAATTGGGGGAGATTAGCACAGGCTTCCTGTAGGAGGTGGCTGGCCCTTGAGATGAGTCTAAAGGAAGCTAAGGACTAGCTGAGGCAGAGGTGAGGAGGGAGTGATTTCGGGCACGGTGGACGGTTCATGCAAAGGTATGTGGATGAGAAATGGAATATTAGGGCCAATAAGCCTAGGCAGGTAATTGCGAAGGATTTTAAGAGCCATACAGAGCAGTTTGTATTTAATGCTCTAGGCAGTTGGGAGTCCCTCTTCTTCTTGAGGAGAAGAGTGACCTCGTCTTACCTGTGCTTTAGGAATTTCCATGTGGCAGCTGGCAGGGGCTGATCTAGAGGGGAAAGAGGCTGGGAGAAATCAGGAGGCTTTGGGCACAGTCCAGGTGAGAGGTGATGAGGGCCTGAGTGGAGAGGCCAGGTGGCAGGTGTCTTGTGTGAGTAGACTAAACAAAACTGAGGAAGTGATTGGATGTGGAAAGGTGAGGGAGAGGACTCCGAGGATGTGAACCTCGGTGACCCAAAGGAAGTGGGAAAAACAGGGAGAGGGAATTGTTTGGGTGGGGGTGGAGGGGAGAGATAATGAGTTCCCTTTTGGACAGAGTGAGTTTGAAATGCTCGTGAGTTCTGGGCTTTGAGTTAGGAAGACCTAGCCTCACTTCTCACCTCTGACACTCAGAGCTGTGTGACAAAGCACAAATCACACCCTCTCTGAGTCTGTTTCTTCTTCTGCAAAATGAGAGGGTTGGACCAGAGAGCCTACGACATCCCTTCTGGTGCTGATTCTATGATTCTCTGATCCAGCTGGATCTGGCTGATACACTGTTGGTGATACTTAGGAGGGAAAAAAAGTCTGGATATAAAGACCTGGGAGTCTTCTGCATAAAGACGGGAATGGATCCCCAGTAGCTGTGCAGAGACAGGGGACACCTCCACATGAGGGGTGGGGCGAAGGTGATAATCCAGCCAATGAGAATGAAGAGTAGTCAGGGAGCAGGAAGCTGGAAAAGGAGCAGCAGCAGGGGACCCCAGAGAGGGGAGGGTGCTCAGGAGAGTCAGTGGCTGGGGGAAGAGCAACAAGGATGAGGCTTAAGGAGAGACCATCGTGTTCAACGAATAAGCGATCATTAAGTGACTTAGGAGACAGCAGCTTACATTGACTGATAATGTTATAAACCAGATTACAAGGGGCCAAGAAAGGCGTGGGCACAACTTTATAGGAGTTTGGCTTTGAAAGGAATAAAAACCATATAGGTGACAGCTGGAGGGGATGGAAGGATCAATCGAAGGGTTTTTAAGGATGGTTTTGGAGGCGGGGACTGAGCCTGGATTATGATGAACGTTAAGGGGTCCCCTGAACTTGTCTTTTTGAGTTGCCATATTTTCCAGTTGCGAAGCACATCTCACAGACTTGTGATAGTGTTTTTGGTTAACGTAAGTCAGGGCTGGATGGCATCCTAGAGCACAGAACACAGAAGCCACATTTTGGCGAGAGGTGACAAGTGTCTCAAGCAGGGCAGTGACTGAGTGGAGAGGCCAGATGGGATAGATGTCTTGTGTGGGTAGACTAGACAAAAGTTAGCAACGAATCGCATGTGGAGGGAGAGGGAGAGAAGCTTAGATCAGAACAGATATTTTAGATTGGCTATATTAGCAGCATAATCCGAAAGGACCTTGAGAGGGGAAAGCTGAGGGCCAGAAAAGGCTGCTGATTTACTCAAGCCCTTTATGGATGGAATCAGGACAAGAACCTGATTTCAGCCGAGTGTCACAAGGAGACCAGGGAAAGCAAACGTGGAGGGCAAATGTAAAGTGATCCTCACCAAAAAGCCATGCTGTCAAGAATTAAAAATACCCCTTGTAAACAAATTAAAACTAGAGGCTTCTGTGAACCGTGGGCCTCCCTCAATGCAATCACACGTTTCTGTAACCTCTGCCCACGGACCAGATTTCATCAAAACCCATTAAAAAGTGATGAGAGGCTCTGCCCAGTAGAAACTTTACTTGGAGATAGTGGCTAACATTTTCCAATGCATACAACATAGCCCAAATCTACAGCCTTTGTCCTGTTTAATCTGCCCACATCAACCCTGTGAGAGAGGTAGGACAGACTGTCCCCTTATTTTACAGAAGAGGAAACCTGGGACCCAGAAGGGAAAGGACTCCTTAGCCCACAGTGACCTCAGTGAGGGATTCTGATCAGGCCTTCCCTAGGGAAGGGACCTAGTCCAACCCTGGAAGTAGCTTGTCTAAGATGACACAGGCAGTAAATGGAAGAGTCAGGATTTGAATCCAGATCCTGTAGACCCAAGTCTATTATTTTTTTGCAGCGCACCATAAGTCTATAAACCTTCCTTATGGGTCCCTTCTGCAGCCCTTTTCCCCAAAGCATTTTGCTTGTCAGGAAAAAAAAAAAAAAAAGAACGGTACTAATAATCTGCAAGGAGAAAAAAAGTCATTTGGTGCTGGGGAAGCAGAAAAAACAGAAATGAGTTTGAAGGGGTGTGGGGGTAGGGGGCCCAGTTACAATCCACTTGGGAACCCTCTTCTTTATTGGACCAAAGTCCTATTACTTCTAACCTAATAGCTGGAGCTCCTATGTGTGTAGCCCTTTGGGGTTTGCAATGTATTTTCTATACATCATCTCATCTGGGATATGGGAGGCAGGCACCCTGATCCTCACTAATGGGAGCTCAGAGAAGGTAAGTGACTTGCCCACAGTCACACAGATAAGAAGTGGCCTCCACAGGGCCTTCCCAGTTCTGTTTCTGAACCCATCTCTCTTTCTACTAGACCACTCTTCCTTAACTTGGAGCCCATTTCATCTCTCTTGTATTGGGTTTCTCCTCCCTCTGAGGCTGTGTGAGCCCAAGAAGGCAGGACCTCCACTTGCATGTCATAGCTGCTAAATAAATTTGTTAAAAATTAATGGAGCAAAGAAAAGCACTAATCAACAGCAGGAAGGAGGAAAGGCACAGGATCCTGGGGGGGAAAGGGGACCCCCAAAATACAGTTAGAGAGGCCCCAATCACCCCAGCTCAGGCTGGCTATACTGTGGAGGAAAGGAAGTTGGAAAAATCATAGGATCATAGAACTTAGAGGTAGAAGGGGTCTCAAGAGACACTCTTAACCAACGCAGACATTTTACAGATGGGGAACCTGAGGCCGAGAGAGCATCAGGAAGATCTGGAATTTGAACCCAGGTCCTCCAGATCCAAAGCTCTTCTGGGCCCTGTCCCAGGCAATCTGCATTCTGGGTGAGGGAGTTGACACTGACATAGGGGGAGCTGAGAAGGGACACAGGGTTCGGTGCGATTAAAGGCCAGAGGGTGGAGTTTCAATTCTTCATCCTGGTGAAGCCTAGATAAAGGAGAGTGGGATTCGTGGGCCTCCAGTGACCCTGAAGTCCGAGGAGGGATCACACACAGAAAGAGACACGAGGGAAGGGGGAGGGAGAGGGAGAGAGAGGGAGGGAGAGAGAGAGAGAGAGAGAGAGAGAGAGAGAGAGAGAGAGAGAGAAGAAGAAGAAGAAGAAGAAGAAGAAGAAGAAGAAGAAGGAAGAGGAGGAGGAGGGGAGAGAGAGAGGAGACAGAAAGAGAGGAGAGAGAGAAAACAGAGAAAAGAGGAGAGAGAGAGGAGAGAGGAGGAGAGAAGAGAGAGAGAGAGAAAGAAAGGAGAAAGAGAAGAGAGAGAAAAGAGAGAGGAGAGAGAGGAGGAGGACAGGAGAGAGAGAAAAGAGAGAGAGAGGAGAGAGAAAGAGAAGAGAGAGAAAGAGAGGAGAGAGAGAAGAGAGAGAGAGAGCTTGGAAATGCGGGGACGGCACTGTGTACAGCTGAGGGCTACCCAAGGGTACCCACATCTTCAGTAACCTCCCGAGCTCCGAGCACGCAGCAGGAGCTTTAAAGTTGGGACTGAATGGTTGGGGCAGGATCTCTTTCTCAGCCAGTAAACACTTAATACCCGCCTACTATGTACCAGGCACTGTGTAAGTGTGTTTCCCCGCAGCTCTCTGTACAATGTATCGCTTTGGGAGTCTTTGTGATATGTGCCGCGAGCCCGGAGGCGCCGCCTCCCCCCTCTCCTCCTCGCCCTCGCGGCGACCCTGGCTGCCAGCCACGCCTCGCCACGCCACGCGGAACCAGCCTTGACCACGCGGTGACCGGTCCCCGCGGGGCGGGGCTCGGGTGACCTGCAGGTGGCGCAGCTGAGCGGGCCCGAGAGCAGGCAGATAAAGTAGGGGGGGCAGCGCGGGGCCGGGACCGCTATGGGGTTGGCGGCTGCGGGCGGAGGCGGAGGCGTTGGGGCGCTGGAGCTGGAGCTGGAGCTGGAGCTGGCGCTGGCGCTGGGGCTGGGGCTGGGGCTGGGGCTGGGGCTGGGGCGGGCACTCCAGGAAGACAAAGGCTGCGGGGCGGCGGCGGCGGTGGCGGCGGCAGCAGCGGCGACGGTGGCACGGGGCAGGGCGCGGCGTTGAGGCCGCCCGCCGGGGGCGCAGCGCGCTCGTAGCCCCGGCCCGAAGTTGGAGCGACGCGGCGCCGGGGAGCGCACGGGAGCCTGGCAGGCGGCAGCTCCGGACAGCAGAGGCAGAACCGACGCACGGGCAGGGCCAGCCAGCCGGTGAGCCAGCCTACCGGAGCGCCCTCGGCGTTCCCCAAAGTTTGCGCCTTCGTGCCTCGGGCTGGGGCGCGGGGGCTAGCCCCCGTCTGGAGAAGAGCAAGGGTCGGGAGGCGTGGGGCACTCCCCTCCCCGGGGACCAACCTGGCTCTTCTCAGCCCAGCCCAGCACGGATGCAGAGGGGGGCGCAGCCCCTTCTGGCAGGCCCTTACTGGGAGCTGGGAGCAGGGAGAGGCTTGGGGAGACGAGGTGGGAGAGGCACCCTTTCCCTTTTTCCTTTACCAGCTTCGGGGCTGGAGATGAGGGAGAAGATGAGGGGGGCAGACAGAGAAAGGGTTCTGAGCCCCAGGACTGGAGGTGAAGGAGGTGAGGGGCGGTCCCCAGCTTCGGGGCTGGATGTGAAGGAAAAGATGGGAGGTTTTGGGAAGAGTTAGGGTTCCTAGCCACAAGATTGAAAATGAGGAAGAAGATGGGGAACCCAGAGTAAGGCAAAGAATCCCCAGTCAAGGGGGAGATGAGGAAGAAGATGGGGGCACCCAGGCAGAGTCAAAGTCCCCAGCCACAGGGCTGGAGATGAAGGTGAGAGGGACCCTGACATAAAGGGTTCTTAGCCACGGGACTGCAGGTGAGAGAAAGGATAGGGGAGCCTCGGGAAGAATAAGGGCTCCTGGCCCCATGATTAAAGATGAGAGAGAAGATGGGGGGCAGTTTGAATAAGGGTCCCCAGTCCTGTGGCTAGGGATTAAAGGAAAACCTTAGGAAAGTGAAGCAAGGGGGTGGGGGTCTCCCAGTTACAGGACAAGAGGTGAGACAGAAGCCAAGGGGGTGGGGACCAAAGCAGTGTGAGGCCCCCTATTCTGAGGCACTTCCTGGTTCTAAGCCTGGGCACATTGGATTGGGGGTGACTCAGGGTAGGGGGACTAGGAGAAACAGCCTCACCTCCCCCATCTTTGAGAACGCCTCTGCCCAGGGCGAGTTGTATGCCCCAACTTGCCAACTCAACGCAGCAGCTGCTTCCCACTGTGGGCACCACCCCCTCTGTGCCCAGCCCAGGTGTCAGGATAGGAGGAGGCTGGGTGCCCCAATATCCAGGACCTTAGGGCCCTAAGCCTTAAGAAGAAGGGTTTCGCTCTAGGGGCTCATGGAAGCTGTGACCTAGACCCTAGCCCAGGGTAATTGGGTCTCCCAGCACATACTCCCTTTCTGCCTCTTGGGGGGATTTTAGCCCCCTGGTCTATTGTGTCAAGGCTCTAGGAGTTTGGAGTCAGTAGACTCTAGATCTCCCCCCTGCCTACCCTCCATGAGAGCTGGGGGTGTCAAACTACAGAACGCCTGATCTGGAAGGCACTCTCATGCAGCAACCTGATTTTACAGAAAAGGAAACTGAGGCCCAGAGAGAGGAAGGGGCGTGCCCAGAGTCATACAAGTCACTGGGAAAGCTAGAACTAGAAACTAAGTTCCTTGATTTCTAGATGTGTTTTTCCTATCCCAGTTCAGCTGATCTGGCTTGACCCCAAAGAACTTTTTCAAAACAACGTAACAGTCCCTGGGAGTGGATTAGAGCCAGCGGGGTAGAGGGGGATGGGGTTTGCTACCCTTTGGGATGGCATCCCTCATCCTGATTGACAGCCAACCTCACCAGTCTTGCCGGGAGCCCCCAAAGCACTGGAATGGGGAGATGGGGAGCCCAGATGGGGATGAGCCTGGCTTTTATGATCCAATTGGGAACACCAGGGATGGGGAAGCTCTCTGGGAGCCCGGAGGAAGGGGGAGTAGGATAGACAAGGGTCTCAGTTCACTATTTCCTTCTGGAAAACCTTGACAGGAAGCAGAAACCGGGAAGGGGTGGGGGTTGGAGGTGGCAACATACAAGGATTGGGGTTGGCTGACCCCCCAGGGTGGGGGCGGAAGGGGGTCCGGTTTCAGGCCGTGCCCATGTGACCAGCACAGCTGCAAAGGTGGGGGGGAGGGAAGGGAAGAGGGTCTGGGTTGGGTAGAGGGAATTCTCAACTCGACTGAAATACCCCCAGGTTCCTTGGGGATCATCCTCTTCACAGGACCCACAGGTCGTAGGGGCTTTGGCCAATTTAAGCCCCTCTCTCTCCTGCCTAGACCCTGGCAGCAGGTTTGTGGGTGTGTTTGCATGTGTATATGTGTGTGCTAGGGGGTGGGGGAGGTGGTGTTACCAGACTTCTGGGTTTTGAGAGGAAAACTGGTAGTAAGGAGAATGCTGGCTTTAGAGTCAGGACCTGGGATCGAATTCCATGCTTATGCCTTATCACCTGTGTGACCTTGGCAGACTGCTTCATATCTCAGGGCCTCTGTTTCCTTCTCCACGAAAGGAGGGGGTTGAAAGAGGGAGTTTCTGGGGGTCTCTCTGCTCAGGAGCCTATGAAACCTATATTCTGGGCTCAAGGCCCCCATCATTGTTGTAGGTCTGGGGTGTAAGGAAGGGTTTTTTAAGTGTTGAGTGAAAGTGATTAGGCCAGCTGGCTATCTTTACTGCCTCACCAGGCCCCACAAGGCCTGCAGAGCTTTTGATCTCTCCCCATCCCTACTCTGTGGTTACAGGGAGGAGGGAATGGAGTCATGGACCACCCCCAGGCTCTGCCTCACTTTCCCTCCATCCCCTGCCAGCCTGTGGGGCTTGTGTGTTAGTTGGCTGAGGGAGGATCCATGAACCATGGAGTCCCACTGGGTGTTAGGAAGGGACACGGTGCAGAGGGCAGTCTCCTTGGCCCCCTGGACCTGGGCTGAGGGCCCTACATTTTGGGAGGAAGCAGGGTCCCAGAGTGACGACAGCATCATCCCAGTCCAACTATCTAATTTTACAGAAGGAACTGAGACCTCCTGGGGGCTCATTCAAGGTCAAATTAGTAATTAATAGCAGGGGCAGCTTTCAAAATGAGGTACTGACCCCAAAATCTACTGTATCAGGGTACCTCAAGAGAATGGTTTAGGGACGCAGAGGGAGGGGCCTCCTGGGCTGGGAGTTTCCAGTCCAAAGGAGGACAACCAGAACACCTGGCGTGCTCGAGCCAGCTCCAACCTGCTTGCTCTCCGGCCAATTGGTAAATTTTCAATGTAATTTACCTCTAAGAAATTGATGAAGGCTACAGATCGGGGCTTGCTTATTATTGTTTTGTTGATTGTCTATACTTGGAGTGATGGAGGTAATGTACACAATGGAGACTAAATACAAAAGTGTGTTGTGAGTGCTTTTTTTTTTCCCTGGAGAGCCTGTTGTTAAATATTTACCAGCATATCATGCCGTCTAATGAACAGTTAAAGGAACCTAGGAGTAATAGGGGCTAGGTAAATAAATGCTTGTTGATTGATTGGTGTTTAGCCTGGAGAGAAGATTTAATGGAGAGTGTCACCATCTTTAAGGACTTGAAAGATGGTCCTGGGGAAGAAGGTTGAGGCTTACTCTGCTTGGCCCCAGAGTGGAAAAATTGGGAGGATGGACTTTGTAGGAAGGTAGATTTTGCCTTGATGTAAAGAAAAATTTCCGACCACCTAGAGTTGAGTCTGAAGGTGCCAGGTTCCCCCTAGTTGGAGGATTCCTGATCAGGTTGGCCCAGATGCCTTTGGAAGTTTCTTCTGTACTTGGCTCTCTGGATTCATTTGGACTCCTCTCCCCACCAGGGACTGAACCCCAGGGGCGTGGAAGCCGGCTATCCCCCTGAGTCCCTTCACTTGGCTCCTCTACTCCAGCCTGACCAATGTCCACAAGGTGAGCCAAGACCCCTGGCCCTGCTTCTCTCTCCACACCCCTCCACCCCAGCTTTGGGGTGTCCCTGATGAGGAGCTGGAGCCCTCCCTGCCCCATCCACCTCCCTGGGGCTGAGCTGGCTTCTTCTGCAGGGAGCAGCCCCTCTTCAGCACTCGGGCCCATGTCTTCCAAATCGACCCAGCAACGAAACGGAATTGGATCCCTGCGGGCAAACATGCCCTCACCGTCTCCTACTTCTATGATGCCACCCGGAATGTATACCGAATTATCAGCGTGGGCGGGACCAAGGTCTGTGACTCTGTGTGTGTGTGTGTGTGTGTGTGTGTGTGTGTCCCCATCTCCTCCCCAGCCCTGACATCATACATCTGTCACTTAACTTTCCTGGCCTCAGTTTCTTCATCTAAACTATTTTCTTCCCCCAGCCCTAACCTTTGTCCGCATCACCAGCTTGGACGCAGGTGTCTTCCTTTCCAAGGTCCACATCTAGACCTAGCTGCCTGACACGCATAACTAAGCAGAGCTGTTTTTCTCAATAGTCACATTTGGAAACAGCCCCAGTATCCCAAGTCCAGAGCTTCCTCTGTTACTCTCTGGCCCTCAGAGCTCAAAGGTAGACAGCTACGGTATGTGTCCACACACACACACGCACACACAGTGGGGTTTTCTTGTGACACCCAGGGAACACTGGCAAACACTCGTTCCCCAGATGCCTGATTCCTCCCCTTTTTGCTTCCTCCCACCTGGCTCTTTTTCTCCCCCAGGCTATCATTAACAGCACCGTCACCCCCAACATGACCTTTACCAAGACTTCACAAAAGTTCGGCCAGTGGGCAGACAGTCGGGCCAACACCGTCTATGGGCTGGGCTTTGCTTCTGAGCAGCATCTGTCCCAGGTCTGGAGACTAAAGAGGGAGGTGGAGTTGAGGATGGGAGCGGGGAGGGGCTGTGGCTGTTCCATCTGGGGTGGGGACAGCTTGGGAGGAGATCCAGGGAAGGGGAAGGCTACAGTGGACCTGGGCTACTGCCCCAGACCGTGGCACTGACCCTCCCTACATCTATCTAGTTTGCAGAGAAGTTCCAGGAGGTGAAGGAGGCAGCCCGGCTGGCCCGGGAGAAGTCTCAGGATGGTGGGGAGCTCACCACCCCAGCCCTCGGCCTCTCCTCCCACCAGGTCAGGTCCCTACTTTGAGGGAGTGGGAGGGAGGAGCTAAACTGTAGCGCCCCCTGTGCTTTCCTAGGAGTTGGGAACTGGTCCTGTAGGAGATCCACACAATGTCCTCACTCCCCCCTCCTTTCATTTCCTGCTGCCTCAGACCCTTCCCACAGCTTCTATGCCAATCCACTTTCATCCCTTTGATCTGATTCAGTGTGAGCTGATAACCTTCCCCCCTCATAGGGCCCAGCCTCGTGCTGGTGTCAGTGAGAGAGAAAAGAGACCCAAGCATAGTTCTGGCCCTTGGGGAGTTCCTGGTCTGGCTGAGGGAGGAAAACCCACACCCAGGGAACAGGAGAGCATGAGCAGCCCTAGTCCTAGGTCATCTTAACCTTCAAACAGCCCTAGAAATGCCCAGTGTGTGCTTAGAATGTCAGAACTGGGCGGGGTGGGGGGAGAGGGGAGAGGGAGAGGGCAGCCCTCAGAACCCAGGATGTCAGAGCTGGGAGGGCCATTAGGACACAGGATGTCAGAGCTGGGAGGGCCCTTAGAACCCAGGATGTCAGAGCTGGGAGGGCCCTTAGGACACAGGATGTCAGGGCTGGGAGGGCCCTTAGGACACAGGATGTCAGAGCTGGGAGGACTCTTAGGACACAGGATGTCAGAGCTGGGAGGGCCCTTAGGACACAGGATGTCAGAGCTGGGATGGCCCTTAGAACACAGGATGTCAGAGCTGGGAGGGCCCTTAGAGCATAGGATGTCAGAGCTTGGAGGGCCCCAGAACCCAGAATGTCAGAGCTGTTAAGGTCTTTGTTTCATTTAAGAAGGTTTGACATTGCAAAGTAAGATTTCAGTTCGGCCAAGGTCAGATGTTCTCACCTTACATAGGTGCCACCATGTGTCCCTTGATGCCTGATGAAGGGAGCCCAGACACAGCCATTAGACTTCAGATAACATGGATAACTAACTTCACTTTTTATTCATAAAATGGGAAATACTCCAGCAAGAATGAGGACTAACACCAAAGTCCAAACAAGTTTTTGCTCACTGCCTTCCCCCTGTTCTCCCTGACTTCTCTCCTTGTGTGTTGCTCTTTCCCTTTCTGCCCGCCCCAGGCCCTTTGTGTGGCCCTGGGGGAGCTCTTGCAGTCCGTGCCCAGCTGTTATGATTGCCTTCCCCCTTCTGCCACAGACTAACCCCTGAGGAGCTCGCTGACCCAGGCCTCGGGCTCCTGGATTGCAAAGGAGGGCGGCTATCTGGAGCTGTCTCTCCAGCCTGAATCGGAGTAACCTTCCCCCTCCCAGGCTTCCACCCCAGTACCCCTGCCTTTGCCTGCTCCTCAGGGCCAACGAGCCAGAATTGGGAGGCCCGTTCACCACCCTGTCCCGTTTCTCTGCCAGGTGCCCCCAAGCCCGTTGATCGGCACCAATGGCCCTGGGGATGAGAAGCTGTTCCGAAGTCAGAGTGCCGACGGCCCCGGCCCCACTGAGCGGGAGCGGCTCAAAAAGATGCTGTCGGAGGGGTAAAGGGGGTAGCTCTTTGTGTTGGAGGGGAGGACCAGACTTGCGGAGAGGTCTGTGTGC